TCTTTTACCCTTTTTTTTCTTTTTTTTTTTTTTTTTTTTTTTTCTTGTCCACACAGAATAAAGATATAAATTTGTCAAAAGTAATAAAAGATTGCGAAAAAGAAAATAGGTAATAAACGATGGACCCTTAAAAATACTTCAACGTTTAACAACGGGTATACTCAGGTATACATTGAAGTATTATTATGATCGTTTAGGTCCCTTCCAATGTATTGTCCATCTGTGAGCAGAAGGTTGGATGCACACAGACGAATAGCACAAATCTATTAGGGTAGATAATAACGAGGGAAAAACATTTTTATTGGTTACATATATTTAGTTTCAAGGTTGGAGAAAAAATATTGTCAAATTGTAAAGACATTTGTTTCGAAATGAAAGCCTTATAATTGTTTTACGATTAAATTAAGCACAATATACGTGATTTTTAGGGTAGTCGAGTTCATCCGTGCCCGTCGGATTCCTCTTTTCTCTTCGACAAAAATGAAACATTACTTTTCAAGTTTGGAAAATACTTTATCACGAATTATTTTTTTGTTTAAAAATTTTTATCAATAAAAATAATGAAGGACAATATTTTAAACGTTAACGTTGTCTCTCGTTTTACGCTAATTCGAAAGAAATTATTTGTCATACGAGTTTTTTTGTCAACGAACGTAAACAACGCGATAAGAAATTGTTCGACGCGTTATTAACAAAATTTAAATATCTTTGAAATATCGCAGAAAACAGTGTGTGTAAAAATTTGAAAGGAATAGAAATAGAGGTGTAAAGTAACCGAAAAAAAATCGATACGCCAAAATATTTCTCTTCATTTCATTTTATTACAAATTATAATAACACATGCGAAATAAAAAATCAAGTGGATTCGTAAAAAAAAAAAAGAAAAAAAATCACAACAATTACCTTTTTCCGGTGTTTTTGGTAGACTTCCTGAACTGTGTTGCGAACTTGGTGGCGATGGACTTTTAGATGGGCTTTTAGATGGGCTCGAAGATGAACGAAGTGAAACTGGTCTTCTAACAGTATCGACAACAATAACAGTTTCGTCTTCGTCTTGTTCCTGTTGTTGATCATCGAAATTAATCGCAAATTTTTGCATTTCACCGTTCAATTGTGTCCCTTGCATAAGTGAATGATGTTTTTCTTTCTACACTTTTGTCGCACTTTTGTTTTGGATTTCTTTTTTTATATTTCGTCAACACTTTTCGCGAATGATGATTATAACCACATACATAGATCTTAACAATAAAAAATAGAATACGTTTAAACACTTATTTAAACAAAAAGTGTCTATTAAGCTTTCTGAATTGATATTCGTCTCGATTATTATTAAACCATATTCCAAAATACTTCGATGTATAATACACAAAAGTAAATGATAATTGTGTTCAATAATCGTGTGTAATGACACTTTAATGATCGTGCCGTAAACTAGTAATCCAACTTGGGCTAGGTTTTGTTAACTTATATTCGCGATCTAATATTATATAATTATTTAAACAGAGACCCCCCACACAGTTTGGAAGAAGAAAAAGAAACAAAGTTTCTACAATTAGTTAACTTTATCTAAACACACGAATAGTTCCGTACACCTCGAGATTATTGAAAGAAGTGAAGACTATAGCAAACTTGATGATACTACTAGCTTAAGGATTCTAACACAACTGGTATCCTTCTGATTGGTCGAATGGGATCGACCCCTCTTATATGACTTAGCTTTGCTTCCCCACTTCTTCTCACCAGTTTACCACCACCACCACCACTACCACCATCAACATCAGCATCTCTCTCTCTCTCTCTCTCTCTCTCTCTCTCTTTCTATTTTCCTGCCATCACCACCATCAGAACCACCACCACCACTATCACCACCACCACCGTCACCGCCACCGCCACCGTAACTTTTCTTCCTCTTTTTAAAGTACCATCATTTATTCCACAATTATACTTTCTAACATTGACTAACATTTATCATTAACTTTCTATTATAATAATATAGAAATAATCTATATAAAAAATCTTTATTTGATGACATCGTTTCTCATGTTATCTATCATATTTTATAGCTTTTAATTATAGTATTAATATATGTGCAACACCATGAAATAAGGGAAATGTTCTTATAATTCGATGGGGGTATTTGTTCAAAGGTAAAATTCTTCAATTAAATCACGTGTTTAAATTGTACGGTTCTAATCAAATACGCTTTCGACGATAATACGCGAGATTAATGTGTAATAATTATATTGTATGATATTTTTTTTTATACAATTTTTTATGTCTGTGTGTGTGTGTGGGTTAATAAAACTTTTACAAGAGCTTTTTATTCTTTGAATAATTTTCTTTTAACATTATATATCTACAAAATTATTTTTCTAATCGATATAATCAAATATCATTATTATTATTAATAATAATAATAATCGTATGTGTCTCTAATCGAATGGGGATGCAAATAAAATGTCGATGAATTTTATCAACGAGAAAATATTATTAAGAATTTTGTCGAAAAGAAATTGTAGAAAGTTTTTTTTTTTACATTCCTTGGAAGTGAGGGGGGGGGGGTAGAGAAAAAAAAAAATAAAAGAAAACTAAAAAACTCACCCTCGAGGAAAAAAGTCGACTGACCGTGTCTAAATCTTTGTTTACTACTATAATTTAAGAATGAACCGAAACTAGAGCAATATTTTAAGAAATCGCATTTCATATCTCAAACGCAACAAAGATCACGCATGATGATTTTATCCATAGAATTTAAAGACGTAAAAAACTATTCATCTTTTTACGAGGAGGAATCTATTCATTTTCGGTTCCCGTTTCGGTTTGTTTCTTCAATATTTACGAGGACACCCTGACGATTTCTTTCTATAAAAAAATAACTTCGACTAAAATCTGGAGCATTTTTATTTTTTTTTTGTTCATTCTTCCTTTTTTTAGGGAGTTCGAGAGAATTAACCGTTAGTTTCTTTACGGGAGGGAAAAGAAAAAATAATGAATAAAGGAAGAAAAAAAAAAAAAGCATAACATGTTCAACGGCGCGAATAAGAATATAATTGTTCGATCATTTTTTCAATTTCGAGATTGCTCAATTAAATTATTGCATAATTTCGTTAGTTAGTTTTGTTTTTTGTTTGCTTCAGCCGTAATTTTGTAAAAAAACAATGATTTGTTATGAGAATTCTATCTTTCAGGCAGGATACTTTCTTCGATACCTACCTCCCCCCTTTTTTTAACCATTTTTATTTTTTTACCAAAGCCATTATTTCCAAAATTTCTAAACACCGATCAGCTCGTAACTCAACGATTTTTTTTATGTTTTTCCGCATTCTCTTTTCATCCCTAACGGGGGATATAAACGTGACGTAAAAAAAAAAACACACACACACACACACACCTACACACACAAAATAAAAGAACAAGAGAAGGATCTTCCACCGTGCACAATTTCATTGTGATTGCGTGGAGAAAGAGAAGTTAAAAAAAAAAAAAAAAAAAATGAAAGAAGAAGAAGAAGAAGATAAAAAAATACTTTCTCTCGGTTGAAAACAGTTTTTTGCTATTTTTCCTGGTTTTTTATTTTTTTCTTTCTTTCTCTTTCCATTCATTTATTTAATGTCTTTTCCTACAAAAATACTTTTCAAGAATCTTAATCCAATCGAAAAGTAAGCCCTAACTTGATGTCAAATATTTTCTCATCCTAAAATATATGATTAACGATTACTAAAAAAACCTACCCTCCCACGATTAATACGTATGACTAATATTTATTTAATCAATGGGATCAGTATTTATCGAAATACATATATAAAATTATAATTTAACAGTAATCCATATGCCGGGGGGGGGGAAAATATATGAAATCTTTATATGCTCCCCAATATATATAAACATATCAAAGATATATTAGAAAGTAATTATCGAATTGATAATAATCCAATTAACTTATCTTAAGTATTATTACCATTAGAAAAGAAAAACAATTGTCTATTATAATATATAATAAATTATTATTATAAATAAAAATGTGACAAACGAATATATAATGAAAATTTAATACAAATAATAATATATTTTTTCTTTAATTATAATTACGTGTTTACGAGATGTTTGCGTGGGTACGATGCATGCACACACTTATAATACAATATTTCATAAATATAATCAATAAAAATAGATTATCATATATCAAGGGAAACACATAATCGAATTTTGAAATGGAGCTATCTTTATTATCATTGCGTCAGGAAGTCGAATGTTATATCGTATTGCAATAAAGCCAACTGGATGGACTTGAAAACGATTATACGATTGAATAGCAGGTAGAATAGATAATTGACGCGAACGGCCAATCCAGATGTGGTCGCAATCATGCCGCTGATTAAACGCTTTGATTAACCGTCTAATTTACTTGTGTGTACGATGTAACGTCGCTTTATACCTGAAAATCTATGCAGTTCGATACCTGTTAACGTACTCTAAAGTATATACATGCATGCACGCACACATAAACCCACACAATGATACACCTGTCAGTATATAACAGAGTCCATAACGCGTAGCAATTGTACCCCCTACCCCCTACCCCTACCCCCTGTCCACTGTTGCCCCCCCCCATCACCGTACGAAACGATACACATTTCAAACGTTCGAATTCAATTCAAAGGTGTATTGTACGATTTTCGCGAAAAAAAACTATCGTTAAATATCTTTCAGACTTTTTTTCTTTCTTTTTTTTTTTTTTTTCAAAAACAATAGCTTTCAAGTGATACCCATGAAGTTATTTATTTCGTTATATAATTATCTCTCTTATTGTAAAAATAAATGTTACGATAGGGTAATAAATTAATTCAAATTTGTCAATGAATTTGTAATACTGCGTATGTAGAGAATGTCTGTGAGTTTATGATAGTGAAAAAGTATATAGTATAGTGTTTATTTCGAAATTTTATTTGCTTGAAATAAAAAGAATCATTATAATATAATAGAAATATATGATTTATAATATATTCTCAATAAGATTGATTTTATCTAATCAAATGTGTGTTAAAAACGAATAATGTGTTAAATTATCTATTCTTAATTTTGAAAATATATAAACATTAACGTTTTACTAATAATCAAAATATAATTAAACGAAATAATGATATAAATGTAACACTCAATAAAATAAGACACATTATAGTGATAATAGAAATGTTTTGAATTTAAATAATCATAATTAATAGATACGATTTGTTATACTTATATTTTTTATGTACTTACATTATTTTACATTGTGAAATATATTTGCTTGTAATAACTAATGGATTACCAATCACAAATGACTAATAGTTTAGGTATAATAATAAAAAAATATGATGTTCTTCCTCAATAAAAAAGATATTATCGATTTAACAGGTATTTCATCGATATATCAATTATAATAATTGTTGAACACAAATATAAATATTTATTAGTCGTGAGATTTTGTTGAAAAAAAAATGTGTATATTATTAGAAATAATTGAACATGTTTGAGCTTAGTCAACGGGGATAACTAAAGAGACCGAACTAAATCTGACTTATTGAAAGTATGATCAAAAAAGGAAAAAAAAAAAAAAAGAAAAAAAAGGGTAAAAGAAATGTGTTGTACGATAGTGAAGCATGTGGACATACTTGAAAAAGAACTCCACGCATTCTCTCATTTCCCACTCTCTTACGGATCGCAACTGCTCGAAACTCTTAAGTCTCTCTCTTATCATTTCGTTCGTTAAGGAAAAAAAAAACCGGCGAAATGACTTCGAAAAGATTATTTCACACGTTCCCTGACAGATGAAAACTGATTCTCACAGTTCACGTATCTATATTACCTCGGATATAATATTATTTCGTGATTAATTCATTACCATTCGCGATGAGATTTCCTAATTTCAAATTTTACGATCTCTTAATAAACACCAATCGAAAAGAAGTCAATATCTTAATAATTTTATTATGTTAAACCCATTGTATCGAAATCAGACAGTTTTACGACTAATATAATACTTTCTTTTTTATTTTTTTTATTTTATTGCACCGAATAATCTCGTTGAATGGCTTATAAAAAACAAAAAAAAACAAAAAA